CACTATAGTGTCAGGAAAACAAACCCCTCCCATGGCGCTTAAAACCCCTTCAGTTACTTACTTTAATCCAGCGCTGGGCACCCTCGGCGCTGGTGATCTCTCTCCCCCGTCCAACATCAGTGGAGCCAAATGCACGGCTAACGCGCGCATTCAAAGTGTCCATAGGAAAGCATTTCTCAATGCTTTCCTATGCATGCTCTGCGCGAGGGATGCGAAATCCGCATCCAGCGTCGCAGATGTGCCTCTAATGTCTGTCCGGAAGACAGCCACTAGAGGCTGGATTAACCCCAAATGTAAACATAGCAGTTTCTCTGAAACTGCTATGTTTGCATCTGAAGGGTTAAAACCTGAGGGACCTGGCACCCACACCACTTCATTGAGCTAAAGTGGTCTGGGTGACTCTAGTGTCCCTTTAAGACATCCTGACACTAGTAAATCTTTCCTACTTGAGGTTGATGCCTCTGAGAAAGGGGTCGGGGCTGTTCTTTCTCAGAGAGAGAGTCAGGATGCCCCTTTGCATCCTTGTGGTTACTTCTCCAGAAAGTTGTCTCCTGCTGAGCGTAACTATGACATTGGTAATAGAGAACTGTTAGCCATCATACTAGCGCTTAAGGAATGGCAACATTTTTTGGAGGGTTCCAAGGATCCCATTCTGATTATTACTGATCACAAGAACCTAGCATATATTGGGGATGCCAAACGACTCTCTTCTAGACAAGCTAGATGGTCATTATTTTTGTCTCGCTTTAACTTCATTATCACCTACAGACCCGGTTCTAAGAACGTTAAAGCTGACGCCTTGTCTAGGTAATTTGACGTTGAATGGGATCTAGAACAAGAGATATCCCCTATTATTTCTCCTGAATGTATTATTGCATCCACTGTCCTTTCTTTATTGTCCCCTTTGCTCCGTGCTATCATGGCGGCTGAGCCCCAGACACCTTGCAACAAACCTCAAGATAAATCGTTTCTTCCATTGCCTGACAGAAAAGAGGTGCTGAAGGTATTCCATGACAATGTGACTGCTGAGCATCCGGGTATTAATAAAACTGTATCTGCCATTTCCAGGTCATTTTGGTGGGAGTCACTCAGGAGGGATATTAAAGATTATGTTGAAGCCTGCTGTGTCTGAGCAGTTTTGAAGGTTCCTCATAAACTTCCATGTGGATTGTTACAACCACTTCCTATACCCAGTATCCCATGGTCTCATTTATCGATGGATTTAATTGTTGAACTGCCTAGTTCCAATGGGTATACTACCATCCTCATGGTAGGTGGCCGTTTTTCGAAAATGTCACACTTTACTCCACTTAAAAAATTGCCATTGTCTCAGGACCTGGTGCACATATTTATACGTGATTGTCACACTACATGGTATTCCTCAAAATATTGTGTCTGACAGGGGTTCCCAATTTGTGTCACGGTTCTGGAGGGCATACAATAAACAGTTGGGCATTGAATTGTCATTTTCCTCTGCTTACCATCCCCAAACTAATGGTACGGCTGAAAGAGCTAAGCAATCACTTGAGCTGTATTTACGTTGCTTCGTGAATAGTACACAGTCTAACTGGGCTGAATTATTGCTGTATTTTCTGATACGGTTATCCCTACTCTGGATAATCACCTTACCTCTATTTGTGACACCTAGTCGAAGGTTCACTCCGCTCTTGAACCTGGGGCTGCTTGCTTTAAGTTTCATGCGGTTATCCTCACGCAACATCAGGTTGAGGGTTCCCAGCATGAAGTTTGCTCCAAGGTTCCTTGGCCCTTTTCGTGTGGTTAGGAGAATCAACCCGGTTTCTTATTCTCTGGCCTTTCCAGCGTCCTAACGTATACCAAATACTTTTCATGTGTCCTTGCTCAAACTGCTTGTTTGCAACCTGTACACAAGTCCGATTGTTCCCCCTCCTCCTTTGGTTGTTTCTGGACAGGAGGAGTACAAAGTTTCCATCATTGATTCCATGTTTTCTCGTGGTTCCTTACAGTATTTGGTTGATTGGAGGGGGTATGGGCCTGCTGACCGTTTCGGCTTTTGATATCCATGCTGGCTGTAAAATTTGTTCTTTTCATGCCAAGTTTCCTCTCAAACCTGGCCCTGGGCTGGTTTCAGGTGTGGGGTTAATGTCACATATTCATCCGCACATAAAAACGTGGTTAACCGCATTTACTGTCCTGACAGGATTTGACATTGGCTTTGTTTTGACTTCCCGAAATATCTGGTATCCTTGACTTTTGGCTTTCCCTCATCTTTATGTCTGATTCTGTGTCCCGGACCTCGGCAAGTATTTTGACTATTCTTGGAGATGTTAAGTCGGGCCATTCTAAGGTCCGGTTATACGTTATCCTTAGTCCTAAGTGCGACACAGTACTATGTGCTGGATCAACTTGTAATCCTGACACAAATGATGCAATGCCTGGAGCACCCAGACCCAGACTACAACAAAGTAAAAAGGCAAAAAGGTAAAATAATCCCTTTAATATTATACACCTACTGAATTCTACATACCACAGGGCAACTCTTTTCATGTGCTGCCCATCAATATGTATACACCATTTGTGTCCCTGTAAATATGGTAACCTTGTGTTTAGGAAAAATTTAAATGCATTTTTATTTAGTTCCATGAGGTTTCAGTTTAGTCTGCACGTAATTCACTGCAGTTGGGAGGTATCCTCTGGGAGTTGAGAAATTTTGAGAACTACCACTTAGTTGTGAAGAATGGCTTCAGATGGTTTTCTTCAGGTTTGGCACTACAAATTCATTACAAATTGTGGGTCTCAGTCCGGATGGTATTCTGATAAACCATTGTGGAAAAGGTATCTTTATAGTTTATGTTAGCATAGAAAATATATCTTTTTTACGTGTGTTGACCTGGTTATATACATACATATAGTTTATAGATATATTTTATTTCAATAAATTCAATCCTACCCAGTGCATACTATAAATATTGAGGCAGACACTGAACTGTTAAGAAAGAGGATATGTAAGGAGTGGGTGAAAAAAAAAAAAGACAGTCTGCCTATAAGAGCTGTTCCCAGGGCATCTACAAGGTTGCATGATCCAGGAACTAATTATTTTAGTATGCAGTTAGGAACTTCAACTTTATCTCCTGCAAACTGTAAACCCTTTCTCAGACACATAAAACAACATTTTATCTTTACACTGTAAGGAAACCAAGTATATTTAAACCTCAATCGGTAGTTTCCTCCCGAACCACCAGAGCCTTAGTAATTATAGCCCTCCGTTCGGTAGTTAGGGTAGATGAATCCTATAGCAATTCAAATAGTTTCACCAGATAATTCCCTCAGTGAAACACACGAATCCCCAAACATCAGCCGAAGTCAAGAAGAAGGGTACAAAATGAACTGTCCTTTATTGGGTGCACACAGCTTTTATGCAAGTCCCCATGCAAGGGGACAGCCCTCAGGGAGGGACAAACAATAACCAATCACAGGCAGTAAAATGTTAACACACACCTACAATTCCCTCCCCTAGCCCATGAGATAATTTAGTCTGATAAAATAGTAACTTAATTATCTCCGGGCTGAAAAATCACTTTTTCCCCAACTTTTAGAACACCCCTTTATACTGGGGGTATCCAGTCCCCTGTGTCCCCTGATCTAGGTGACCAACATATTCGAATTTCACCCAGATCGGTTCAGGGGTTCGCAAATTTTATGGAAGTCTTGTGTGACCGGCTCACCCTGGGTTGCATGCCCAAAACAGTTCCACAAATTTGGTATGTTTTGCCGGTCACTTTAGAAAAAACATAAAAACGAATAAAAATACAGAATGGATCCCTCTGGCTCCTAGCAGCGTTCGTGCCCCTCTGTCGAATGCACCAAAGTACCGAATAGTGCTCTTCTAGCTATTCGGTAAATAGAGTTCCAGCGTTCGTCTGTTTGGGACCGGTGTTCGGGAAGTCGAGTGTCCGTAAAACAGTTCCATGCACTCGACGACCAGGTCCCGCTGCCTTTGTTCGCATGAACAAAGATGGCCGCGGTTTTCTCTGCCACGTGGCGTTCGACTAACGAACGCTGGCCGCACAGACAGAGGTAGCAATTTCACCCAAACCTTTGATGTTTAATGAGCCAGAGGGTGGTCCTTGTTCGGTAGTTCCATCTACCGAATGCAATAGGCAGAAATGGGGATAAAAAGGGAATGCAAACAGTAAATAACATAGGGAACAGGGGGGTTTCTTCACATACACTAATTAATAATTTTGATAGCACAAAATATACTTCAAAGTGTCTATAAAGTGCCACTATATGCATTTATACAAGTGCAAATTATATTTTAACATTTTAAAAAATTCTAAAATAACTGCGTACTTGATAAACATATGGGAGTATCAAATTGTATAGAAGTAAAGAAAAGCATTAAATATCTCCATTTCGTTGAACTTTATGTATTAACAGGGCACCCAATTCAATTAAGGGTGCTTGTTTTTTCTTTTACAGTATCTGTGATCTTATGGTCAGAATTTAATTAAACAAAATGTTTGTGTAAATGTTGTTTATATATTGGTATTTTCAATCAGGTCTATGGTAAATTGTTCGAAATATATTTATAGGGTTATTTACTAAAATTCGATAGAACCCACCAATGGGACGAATCCATCCTACTTCAGACGAGACCATTCAAACTGCAAAATTCAGATATTGGCCGAATATTTTTTTTTTTTTTAAATAAGTTTTTTTTAAATGATTTAATATTTTTTGATACATTTTTACAATTTAAAAAATAAATAAATATTAAAATACCAAAATTATATTAGATATAAAAATATATTCAAAATATTAGGCCATTTAAATAATTGTCTTAAGATTTTAAAAGTTGGAGGCGGGGCCTGACCGCCAAGCTGGACGGACGTGGAGCACCTCGGCTCCCTGATAAACCCTCAATAACCGGCTTAAAATCACCCCTCATCATCTGCAAAAAGACATGAAATCTGGACCTGCATGCCCAGCTGTTACACATTTAAAAAACAAAATACAAACTATTTGTGGAGTTTTACTTTACTATTTAGTGAGAGAGGCCATTCCTGAAGAACAATATTTTCTGCTGCAGGGTTAAATGGAGGGGGGTATGCACATCTGCGCTGTAGTGAGAATTCGGCATATGCGTCCTGACACCACTGGCTGTGCATGAAGATATCCAGCCAGTGACGTCGGGGAGCAAAAGAGGTGGGACCATGAAGGGACATTGTGACGTAATGACGACGGACGACACTACACCGAAGTAAACATGAGAAAAAAGGCGCCAAATTTAAAATAAAAAGCTGGAAGAAGGAGACAACTGGAAACTTTTGAGAAAGGCTGGGTTAAACCAAAACGCGTTAAGGGAGGTGGACTATATGTTTTTTTTAATATATATTTGGAATCGTATGTATTTTAAAGAGCTTCAATAAAATGGTTATCCTTGACTTACCTTGGAGTCCATAAAGCTGAAAGTTATTGAAAACCAGGTGGGAAGCTGCACCAAACAGATTTCCAAAGAACATCCACTTCATCCTTTTGTTGATCAAGCTTCTAAGTCTGAGCCAGCTATTTTAGTGGCTCCGCACCATTTGAGTGGGACATTTAAAAAAAATAATCTTGGTGTTTTACTGTATTCCCCTATGGTCTCGCTTTTGTTTTTTAAAGATTCATACTGTACAACGTGTGGTAATAGAATTTTGATTGTTGTATTTGTGTGCTCTCACCATCATATTGGTTTTTATTTACCAAGATTAATTAACTGACAAGTGGTCTGGGTGCCTATATAGTCTGATTAAAGTTATTGTTCACTTGCAAAAAAGCAAGTGAACAATATGTTGCTAATGTGTACTCTGATAGATGCATTTGGTTCCAAGTTGTTCACATTAGTAATCTGGACAACAAATGCATCCTGGTGATTGCTGCAAAGTAGCTTGACCCAGCCAAATTCTGACTATATTTGGCTTTAGTACATATGAGAATTGCCACTGCGGTCAGAATGTAGTCATTTTCATCAGATTTTGGCCATCCAGACGAAATCTGGTGCTTAGTATAAAAGACAGCATTGCTTATAAAATGCAAATTGTATCAACTTCTGTTTCTTGTTCAGCCAATTTAGAATGTCAGAACTTCAAAATGATACAGAGAATCCCAGGATAATTTAATAAAGTATATTTGCCCAAGGGGATCAATAATCAAAAGAAACACTTCTATAAAGCTCTTCTATGCAACTATCATGGTTGTATATACAAACAGTATTCAATGTTTTCTTTTAATAATTTAAAAAAAAAAAAATTTAAATCTATAAAGCAGTACGAAAAAATTCCTTGAATTAACACAGGCTCATATTTAAGTACTGTGCGCTTCAAAATAGGAATTTTGCACCCTATTACACAGACTGATTATACCATACCAGGCTAAGTAGTGACTTTTTAAACCAAACCATGCATTGTGATCCAAAGTAGCAGCATCACAAGTTATTTTTTTCAGACCATGGTTGCTTAATTAGTGCATCACTAAAATAGGTAACAGGGTGGTAGGCTAGCACCAGCTGCCTTTTAACTGTACAGTCTACCTAAGGAAAAGCAAATGTAAATGTATGTACGTAGTGGGGAATCGCGATGCATCCTAGCACAAGTCTAAACCCATTTACCCCCCCCCAATAACGACAGACCACTTAGTATGGATGAACAGGCCATAGCATTTATTATCACAAACTAAATTACTGCATAACACATCCATAACTTTATTTATTAAATCTCTTCTTTCTGTAACCAAAACGTTAGACATAAATAAGCATAAATTAACATATATACATATATAACTCCACCCATAGTGTTATACAGTGACCCAACCGTCCTTGCCAACAAACATACATGGTTCCTAATCACCACTTCCTCTCACCTCCCCCCCGTCATAAAAATCATATATTTCCAATGCTCGCCATCAGCTGACCTTATCCACCTGATGAGCACGACACCCCAGGCAACCTAATGTTTAACCTTTTGAAGCAGGGGAGGTTGAGACCTAAAAAAACTTGTTCATCTCATTCCATATACTTAAACGTAACCACTCAAACTCAATTGGCGACCTCCAGCAAGTGCACCCATCCCCTCGAGATAACCAGGCCACATCCGGCCCAACCCTAGAGGCGAACCGGAAAAAGACCCCACAACAAACCTAGAAACACATCTAGTCCGATTTCGACAGCAGCGCACCAGGGCACTCACATTGTTGAGCGCACTGCCAAAAGGAACGGGCGATAGCCTCAGGCCAGCGCCTGAGAACCTCTGGGAAGACACAGAATGCGTAACATGACCAGATTGAAGAGCACCCAAATCCCAAACCGTAACCGAACCCAGGTCATTCCACCCAGAGATGACAAAAACCCCTGGAACCCCCAGGAGGTGGGACAGCTGACCCCGTACGAGGAGGAGCCACACCCCCATCATGTATCTGGTGCCAGACCACCAAACCTCCGATCCTGAAGGCGTAAGATCCAACCACTCACCACCCGCCTCTTGGCCCAAATTACATGAGCATCACACCATCCCTATTGGGGGGAGGGAGACCCTAACCGCGGAGAGAAATTAATCCAGAGACCGGCAGGGTGAACATAAGGAACCAATCATTCAAGCCCTCTGAAGCATTGGCGCAGGCACCCGAGCCTGGCGGCCTCTGTAGCCGCCCCTAACCGGAATGAATGCCCCTTGAATTCCCCACCATCCTTATCCAGGAATTCGAGCCCCAAGTGGAATACCCCCACAAAATGGACGTAGGAGAGAAAAACCCATCTCAGAGAACCAAACAGGGGGTGAGTAAGCCAAATAATCCAGGGGACTGAATAGCACTCACCTAAGGAAAACAGGACAAATGACGGAACCCAGCACCGCCCCTGATCGGAACGGCATAATCCAAACTATCCTGGGAACCAAGTACATGTTAGGAGCCTAACTATTACCCTGTGCACTCCATCTACCTCAGGAAAATGCGGAAGGGCCAGGTTATGTCAACGCCGCAACGTCCAAGAAATGAACAGATTCCATTAATGAATCAGCCAACCGCTACCAACTCACTCTCCCCAAAGTCTACAGACGTCGAGCGGTGAAACCTGAAGGAAGTCCATTCCGATGCGCACTCAAACCCCCAAAACACACCCCCACCTAAAGACGACCGAACATGAACGGGAAGCCGAGCCCTGCAAATCAAAAAACTCACTAAGGAGCCCCCAATGCCCCTAAGGGACGGAACAAAACATGTAGACGAGCAGTCCAATGCCGGAGCCCCCCCCAAGGAAATGCTCCTATCTGGCCCGAGCACTCACACCTTCCTGTAGCGGGTCCCACTCCGCCTCAAAGACCGACACACAGACCAGCTTCATCAGTCCACTAGAGCAAACGACCACATCTCCACTGCCCTATATTTGGCCCCGCGGAGCCCCCACTCGAAGTACGTCCCACAGCGAACAATATAAAGCATCGGCCACTACATTGTGAAACCCCTGGGATAACCTCCAGCTAACCAGACACTTCCCAGACTCAAACGGCGCCGCAACCAGAGCACCACCGGGGTGGAGGACCCCGTCACGTGATAGACAGCCTGCACCACCCCAAGATTGTCGCAACGGAAGAACTACCCATCAGCTCATGAGTAGGGAACCCCACACCTACCATGCCCCCAGAATGGGGAAGAGCTCCAAGACAGCCAGAGGCTGCAAGAGCCCCGATGCTTGCCAGCTTACTGGGCAAGAGTCAGCACACCATGGAGAGCCCAAAATGGCCCCAAACCTGCCGCAGCGGTAAATAGGCAGAAGTCAGTGGAAGGGACCTACGGGGCCTGTCAGCACAAGCTACCAGTCAGGGGCAACCGACGTTCCCCTGTCCTGGAATCAATCCCACTATACAGGAAACTACAGCCCGTATCCCGACCCACGGTTACGTCCTGGGCCACGGAACTCCGAAACACTACCCCAAGAAATGCCGCAGCAGCAGAGCGCGGACGTGTGACCCTGACGGCCGCACACAGAAGCGACAATGGGAGCAACCCTTGTGGAGGCACATAGCCACTCAACACCGACCGTCAGAAAATACAGCCTGGAAAACAATAACTTGCCGGGCGCATCGGCGATTCCACAGTTGCCGCCATCAGCAAGGCCCCCGGGCCCCGCAGTGCTAACCCTCGGACTGCTGCATCATGCCACAACACCCCATACCTAACCCCTCGTAGGGAATGACAAATGAGTAAATAAGGAATCAGGTGAAATCGCCCCCCCGCTCCTCCATGGGCCCCATCCCATAAACGTTCAGGAGGTAAGCTTATCAAGCTTCTTGGTAAGCCGCTCCCGTACCACCCAATGGAATTCTCATATGGACCGAAGAGGGCCTGCATGTAGAGCACCCATGTCCCTTATCCCAACAGATCGCCTGCATGAAAACGTGGGAGACGGGATGGGCAACCCGAGCCCTCGTGCTAGAACGACACGAGGACCCCACTTACCATGACTGTCGGTGAATTTCCAACCACCGCCTAGCCTCTGGCTGGGGGGCCAGTGAAAGGGAGGGTGTTCCCCCACCGCCGCAAAATGACGAAAATGTGCCGTGCTGAGGCGCCGGGCGAGACATAAGGAAAACCATCTGGTCCCAGGCCAGAAAGGGTCGCACGTCTACCGTGGACGAAAGTGCAAGACGTACCTCCACCAACCCAGCTCACCCTAGGGACGACACGCGTCTCAGACAGTGTCCTGACAGCAGAACAACGCGAGCATTCTCGGGGAGCCCTCCCCCGCCAATGCTACCCATAACCTTTGATGCCCGGACACAATTCCCGTGCGTTATGGGGTGTATCCGAGTAGATAGAGATAGAGATAGAGATATCCCTCACCCAAGGGACCCTCAGTGGCAGAAGGGAATCCATCGCCAATAAAACCTTCCCCAATCTGCTCCTTAGTATTTCGTTACAAGCGCTAGCCAAGCGGGCTATACGCACGCATCAGCAGCGCCCCGAGCCACACGAAACGCGCGCTATTAGCTGCGCAGGACGCAGCAGGAAACTTAATTCATTTATTTATTATATATTTTTTAAATTTATTCTTATTAGCTTTTTATTTATTGATTTATATATATTTTTTTTTTAAATTACCGAATTATGAAACCAACAGTGAAAAAACACACTTACCCGTGAAAAGCCTGGCGCTCCAGCCGTGGCACCGCAGGCACAGGAGGTGAAGTAAACAGACATGAAAACCAGGGTTCACT